AGGGAAGACATTTTTGAGCCACCTTTTCGTATACCTTTTTTGGGTGAGTTAGCCTGTGACCACGGGAATCGACCCCGTCAAGTGTTTGGCTATTATATTAATAGTACGGACAGAAGAAGGTACTGGGCAGAGAGAACGGAACGGTTTTTTATGTGAAGACAACAACAACAACAACAACAACATGGTGGCTCTTGGGACGCACAAGATAAGGAGGGGTATCAACCTTGACGACACTTTCCCGCCTGAAGGACACCTGTTTACGCGAAAAGCCACGTTTTTCCTTAACCAGGGACGTGGATGTATGTGTAGTCGAAACGGCTCTCACCGCTTGGTTTGTTCGCTCGAACGCGATATTGGTACAATGCAGCAGCAGACGAAGTCAGACCTTCATGAGGCCATCGACGAGTGTCATACCCCCCTGGCTGACCAATCAAAAATACCAACATGTCCAATCTGGTTTGGTACGGCAAGCGCACTGATCTCGACCAGCTTCTTCTGCTTCATCCTCGTTAAAACGTCGATACCGTCGGTTGCGTAAGACATGACAACCCGTGGACCGATTTTCGAAGCACGATCTCTCGGCAAGAAAAGAAGTGACGGTTTCGAAATAGGCGGGAGGCATTGGGACCGTCTCGTCGAGAGCTTTCCGAAAAAGTATTTCTTCATTTTCGGCATCCTCTTCGTCGTGGAGTAATCGAGCTTTGAAAGTCGGTTCAGGGGGTGTGCTATCTTGCCAAACGTCGATAGCCTGGGCCGACGATAACCCTACGATATTGTACTGAAGGGATGCGTTTGCTTGAGTAGATGCCCCCTGAGTCACGTTTTGCTTTGTTGGCTCGAACGCGATGATACTGATTGATGAGGCACAGCAGCAGCAGAGGGAAAGTTTCCAGAAGCCATTGACGAGTATCACCGCCCCCGCCCCCCGGCCCACTATTTTTTTTGTTGGCCCGATCGCGACGTATGTACATAGGTAAAGCGCAGCAGCGGAGACCTCTTGGACGCGACAGGGGAGGATGGCAAGGTGCTTCCGGAGCTGCTCTCGGACCATGGGGGAAACGCCGTTACCAGCACCTGGCCCAAGCCGTCAACCAGAAGACAGGTATCGTGGTGGATTGTACTTCGACGTTCCGTTAGTTATGTTTACAATATTTGCAGTAGTTGCTGCACCAGCACGTGGCCCACGCCGTCGACCTGAAGACACGTATTGCAAATTGTAAATTGTGCCAATACTTCTTCTGTATTTATTTTGATGTACAGTATTATAGTAGTATCTGGCACAGATGGAATATTCAAGACATTTCATGCATGGAATTGTGCGGGTGCCCGCTATCGGGCCGGTGAATCGGTCTGGCACATACCCGCCTTATTGAGGGCCTACGAATGCAAGTTAACAGTAATAGCTGCACCAACACGTGGTCCAAGCCATCAACCAGAAGACAGGTATCGGATGCTGTGATCAATACAGTTCCCAGGAAAAACGCCGGTGCGATCCAGCATATATCAGACGAACCGGAATTAGTCAGAACTTATGTAGAAGTGCAACAACTTTGAATTTTCTGAGCATCCAACACAAATAAGAAGTGCTTTTCCTACCCGATGCATCAACATTAACAAGGAGTGTTTTTCCTACCCGAACCATCCAACACTAATATGAAGTGTTTTCTTTTGTTCTTGTTTTAGGTGCTGACGTTCGGAGCGAGCTGGGACAACCGGAGCGATGTCGATTTCCTCAATCGGGACGCGAATCCCGCCGGTGCCGACATTGCTCTTCCAAACGTCGGCAACGGGAGCAAGGGCGTGGGTAGCGGCGGCACCACCAGGTGCGGGGCTTGTGAAGCGCGGCAGCACTATTTCCCCTCCCATGGCCGCACCAATGCCGTAGGTTTAACGGCGTACGGTAGGCAGCATTTACGTGTGGGCTTTGTGAAGCGCGGCAGTAGTACTGTTTATGTTGTCTAGATACCGTTGTTGTTTTCCAACATCCCATGACACTGAATGTGCCTACAGCAGGGAGAGTGACCAGCACTATGATGGACATTGGCACTCTACGATACTACGATACTACGATACTCAAAGTACCGAATGACTTACTGTGAGGATGCGAGATAACGCACGGGGGTGCGATCGATTTTCAAAGCGTACATTTCTCGACAACCAGGAGGCTGCGAGCGCCAACTGATACCTCTCAGGAAAGCTCTCGATGAGATGTTTCCGAACCCACAGTTTTCGGCACGGCCACTCCTTCTGCTGTGGAGAAATGGAGGTCTGACAAATCGGTCCAGGGGGTAAGGTATCTTGTGTCATGTCGGCTACGGTATGTTTTTACATGTACCCGCTCGCGGCTGCCCATTTCTTTTTTTTGTCTTTTGTTCCTCAGGAGGCATTCCGACCCGCCTCGCGGGACGACGACGTCATCAATGATGATGTCATCATCATCATCCATGACGTCATCGTCCACAGCAACCACGACATGGTCGTCGTCATCATGGTTGCGGAGAAGTACACCAACCGGGATGTCGGTCAACGGCGGCACTGCTGCTGCTGCTGTTGCCTCTGGGCCGGCGGCCCACGGCCTACCCGCCCAGAGACGTAGGCCCAACAGCACCGGAAGCATCAGCGTCAACGGCAATGGCGGGAGCAGTAGTAGTGGTAGTAGTAGTTACGCCGCGTTTTCTTCGTCGGCATCGGCGAATGCGAAACGGCACCTTGCCAATCTCGCCGCAATTTCCACCAATGGGGTTGCTGCTGCTGGGGGTGGTTCCGCGCGGAGAGGTGATTCGGGTCGACAGCACCAGCACCAGCACCAGCGCCAATATCAAGGTGTGGTTGAGTGGCTTCGACCGTTGTCTTGTTTTTGGTGGACATAAGTTTCTACTCTATTTGTGCTGCTGCTGGTCCTACCTTAGACCTTAGACCTTAGACCTTGCAAGGAGTAATTGACAGTTGTTCCAGACCCGGTAGTGTTTCTCAGGGGGGGCTGGCGCTTGGACCGCCAACAAAAGATTTTAAGAGTATCTAGAAAAAGAATAGGGAGGGGGGCACGCAGACCCTATCCCTATCCCTAACCCTAACCCCAAAGCACGGATTCAATACTCTATCCTATATGTTTGCTTAATCAATTTTGCTGCGTAGACTAACGTGGCGCTTGGAACACGTCGTAAACGTTGCTGGTTGGGCGTGGTCATGAGCCCTTCCCCCTGATCTGGAACTAAATAGCGTGTTT